TCCTGTGTTGCCTGCTTCATGTTTGCCAAACGAGCAGCTCTGCAGGAGGCTGAAGCTCGCAGCCACCCTTGCCATTTCTGCCTTTGGGCAGAGCGTAGACAAAGCCAACAGCACATGGAGCAACAGGCAGGAGAAAGACTGTTCAGCATTTGATTTCTAAAATGCTAAAGAAGATTTCCTGTCTAAAAGACAGGAAAATGATATTAAAACTGGATATGATTTCTTTAACGACTGAAACCAAGGGAATTAATTGCAAGGATTTATTCAAGGCCTTTTTTTTTACATAGACACATTCACATAAGTGCTCTCTGCATAGAATTCTCAATTACTTACTGCCCCTCATCACAGAGTAACTAGAGACATGCAGCCAACTCAACAGGTAATGATTTCAGATTGCACTGAGTATAGGGCATTGCTTGAACTTGTTCTCTGGAGCTTGATGAGGTGAGTATCTAGCACCCAGCAACAAGCTGATCTTCCCTCTGTTGTTCCTCCTGCTGATCTTCCCTGTTGTTTTCCTGCAGGAGGGTGCTCTCCATTTGTCACCAGGTAGTCATTCCCCATCCTCTGAAACACCCTAAATCAGCCAGGTGGAAGCCCCCAAGGGCAGGAACCACTTGCCAAGTGCTTTGTGTGTTTGTGGCACCCTCTTATTTGAGACTTCTGCTTGCTGCTCTAGCATGACACCATGACCAAAGAGGATGCAGGGCTGGACAGATTATGTGGCTGACTGTGTCTGAAACATCTATTTCCTTTGCTCCTTAATATTTAGGAGTCACTCTCATCGTATTGAAAACTTCTCAGCCTTTACTGGTTGCTTTCCTGTCACCAGGACACACCATTACCTGTCACCATTCCCAGAGCACATTCCCCAGTGCACTGGGCTGAAAGCAGCCTCCCTGTCTCCATTCCCTGATGCTTCCCCTGAAACAGAAGCTAGTGGTGCCACTCAAGAGTGGAGCCAGGAAGACTGCTTGAAGACAACTACCCTGCTAATGAGCAAGCAGGAACTTGGACTCCCATGTGAGCATCTTCTTAACACTGAAGGTGCCTGAAGGCTGCTTCATGCCCTCCCAACTCCCTCTGCTCTGTGGGACGTCATGGAGGAAGAGCCCGGCTGTAAAATCAGTAAAAAACTGGCAGAAAGATGGATATGGGTGAAGCTGCCTCCCCTGCGGCTGCACCAGCCGTGCCAGTATTGCTGGTGCCTGCCCACGGCTCTGCCAGCCCTCACCGCTGCACTCAGCGTCTCCCATGGGCAGGGCGCAGTTTTTAGCTAAATGCTGCCATAATAAAACCTGTTTCAGCTAAGTGGGATGGAAGCTGAGCAACTGATTTCAGATACTTGCAAACGGAGTGTAAAGAGCATTAGTGGAGCGCCGCTCTTATACTGCACTTTTGATGCCAGCACTTAGTGATTTCTCTGGAATAGCTGGAGAACAGCCTTGCTTCCTTCTGTTTCCATTTCTCCAGGTCCCTGTCATTCACCTGGCATATCTGCTGAATCAGCTTCTTACATCATTAGAGAGCAGGCCCACAAGACATGACATAACCAGCCTCTGAAAATCCCTGACTTACCTCATTTGTTCCTGTATGTCACATTTTCTCTGGATTTGGCAGGAAAGCTTGTTAACAACCTTTCCTTGTTCTTCTGGTGCCTGAGAGTTGCCCAGATTTGGACAGTTTTGTAGGACTGGAATTGGTTTTCCAATAAGCTGCATTGCCTTTTTGGAAGCTCGTTGCCTGCCCTGGAACACAGTGAGCAGCACAGATGGTCCTGGACGTGGGAACTTTGTCATAATCCCTGCCAGAAATCCCCAGGTGCTGGGGATAAGCTAAGCCTAGCCCAGTTCCCTGGTGCCTAGAGCTAAGCACCAGGCTGCAGGAAACCTGTAGGAACAACGATCTTTTCCAAGGCCAATGGGAAATAGTTTCCTACTCTATTGGACAGTCTCGGATGATCCAGAAGGAACTGCAGAGACATTTAGTTCCCCTGTTTCACACAAGATTTAGTGGTGCTGGCTCACAGAAGAGTTGTGATGTTGGGATTCATGCTCATTTGAGGCTACCATCAGCCAGCATGAGGCAGACTTAAAAATACTGTTTCCTTATCATGATCAGACTGTGATACCTTCTCTCACCTTCTCCTGACTGTGTTTGACTATATACTTGAGCTTTTACTATAAGCTTAAGCTTTATAAGCTTGCAGCTTGTATAAAAATAATTTGGAAAAAAAAAATTGTTTTGTTAAATCTGAAAGCAGCATTTTTCAGTAGTGTCTAAAGCAATCACATTTCTAAAAATGACTCAGGTTCTTAGCGTCTGCGCTCCTGGAAACCCAGGGAAGTGTCTAGAAATGGGCTTCACAAACTCCACCTGTGAAGCAGGAGGAAGCACCAAGCAGAAAATGGGCTCCGTTCTGATGCATCTCATTTTTCCTGTGTATGAGCCTGGAATTTACAGCCCACAGTGACTTCAGGAGACAGACACTTAACGCAGTTCCTTGGATGCAGACAAATGTTGACAGCAGTAGTAGTTTATAATAATCATAGAATCATAGAATGCTTAAGGTTGGAAGGGACCTCAGAGGTCATCTAGTCCAACCCCAATGCTCAGAAGACTCAGAAATGACCTTTACCTATCTCCATCACCTTCCCAGAGCTTGTCCCACCACCTCAGAGGTGGGTGCACCTCCCATTCCTGCCTGCAACTGTTCACTCTTAGGTTCAGCATTCACAGCATCCAAGAGAGAGCTGAACTGTTGTCTCAGGTTCAAGAAATCTGGCTGGGGACATGGGCATAGATGTGACCATCACATTACATTCCTGCAGCATTTACCTTGCTTTGGAGATGTCCACTGCAGGCCACTCAATAAGCAAAAGAAGGGGTTAAATAGGTAACATGGTATCATCCAAATCCATACACTGTAATAGCACTTGGTAAGAACATGAAAGTAGCCACGGGAAGACCTATTGGAGAGAACAGACACTTAGCTACTGTCCAGATTCATCAGCCCAGCGACTAATCTGAATTGGCAAGTGGCATTAGTGCTTGTAGTGAGTAATGGCTAGGAGGCAGAGAGCGCCAGGCCGTTGAAGAGGTTCAGGAAAGCCTCTGTGTCGGGGCAGAAATGCCACCAGGAACCTTGTCTTTGAGCAGGTGCAGTCTGGTCTCAGGGATGGGTATTTGTGGTTGGTGCTAGAGCTGCTGGTGCAGATGGGTGGAAGCCTTTTCTGTATTTAGGGTTGTAACCATGCTCCATCCCGCTACATCTGAATAGCAGAACTCATGTGGCCTGCAAATTCCCAGGCTTTTATTCCGGAGACAACCGTGATCACTGCATTTGCAAGTTACAGTCAAGAGAAATTACCTTGATTTAAGGTTTTATCTTCGATCGTGTTTTGTCTTCGATCCTGTATCAGTCTCTTTGCAGCTCACACTGGGGAGAGTTACCAGCCTGATTCTTTCCTGCCAGCTTCAATGAGCATTTGCTCACACCTGCTGTCAGTAGAAGCAGGACTGGACATGGCTGCGATGAATATGTACTCTTCTCAGTGTGTGCTGTTCCTCAGCCGTGTTCAGCACCACCATGTGTAGGAATCTCCGTCGATTATTTGTCCCTCAACAAAAGGAGACTTTGGACATGCATCCCCCTACACTTATCTTTGTGGGAAGGACAGAGTTTGCCCATCTTGCTCTTGCAAGCTTGCAGCTCTCTTACGACAAGTAACAGATTCTTTTCCCTCAAAGGGAAGTAAAAAATTCTGCAGGAGAAAATAACATATCAGTATATATATATAAACACACCATATATATTCACACATCCTCTATATTCACACCCTACGGGGGCTGCAGAATCAAAAAAAAATTGCTACTCAGGTTCCCCAGGCAGCAGTCTGGTAATTCCGTGTTATTAGGGCATGGCACAAGAATAGTTTCCAGCGTGTTCTCACTCTCTAGAGAGTTGTGTTCAACTGGGCCCTTCCCCAGCCTCACCTGGCATTGCAGAGCCAGCTCAGCTCTTGTGCCAACTCAGCCCGACTAATTTCCCCAAAGAAATCAGGGAGGAAATTGCATGAGAAAATTGGATATCAAAACAGGAAAAAAATAAAGGCGAGGGGGAAATATAGGGGGATCATCCCTTGTATTCTACCCATCTCCCATTCAGCTGTCTTGCACTCAGGAGGAGCTCTGCAAAGCAGAGGGTGTAAAACACCCAGTGCCTCATTCTGTGTCTGCTGTGTAAGGTCTTCCAGGCACTGGGGTTTTTGATACTCACGTGGTAACCCGTCATACATGGGCTCTCACCCCTGCTGGATGCAAAGACTGCAGATCCACAGCAGCCTTAGGCGTTGGGGCCATCACACCTGAGTTCTGGTTGTGCTCCCGCGCTGAGAAGGTATTAAGCAGGAATAGTCTCTCCCCAGTGAAAAGCCTATTTAAATCCCCTCTTGCAGTGACCACCTAAAAATCCTTCTGCATACTGTCAGTTTTAAGGTTACATCTCACTGGCAACTGAAACATGCTCTGAAAATTAAACAAATTTTATGCTGTTTAAAAATAGAGCTCCAAATGCTTCACTCCTTTAGAAAAAAGAAAGCCTCCAGAATTCAATGTGAGTTAAAAAGGAGGGCCCTCCAAGGACGTCACAGACTGCCAGAAGGAGAAAGAGGGAAGGTGGCACCATTTTCTGCTCTAGGGTATGGGGTCAGTGTCCTCGCCCTAGCCTGGCACCAGGCTAGCGTTGCTGCAGGACTTCTGGACCCATCAGGGCTTGGGACTCTTCACCTCCAGCCACCTTCATGTGTCCTCATCTCCTCGAGGGTGTGATGTTCCTGTTACGTGCCTCTGTGATTTTCCTGTCTGGGAGATGGGAAGCTGTGATCCCAGAGTTTACTAATTCTGCTCTGCCTCTCGGATCATCAGATCCAGGTTTCCGTGTGGTGGCCATCCCACCTGTTGCCCTAATCCTGCCTCTCCCGTTTGTGTCCCCCCTGCAGAGAAGCAGCGGGAGCTGGCTCGGAAGGGCTCCCTGAAGAACGGCAACATGGGGAGCCCAGTGAACCAGCAGCCCAAGAAGAACAACGTGATGGCACGAACAAGGTAGGGCACCGGGCGGGACGCGGCTCTGCTCGGTGCTGCCGTCCCTGGGGGGCTCGCGGTGGGGCAGGGACGATGCTCGTGGCCACGTGCCAGTCACCAGACACACCACACGTGCAGCGACAGCCCATCCCAGAGCTCGCGGGCCCAAATGCTCCCTGCTGTGTTCCATGTCACCCCAGGGAGAGCCAGGAAGAGGATAAATAAAGGATCAGTGACAAGACAGCCTGCAGAGGGGCAGGGGCAGCCTAGCCAGCACTTAGGCAGGGTGGCAGTCTGGTTGTCTTGCAGACAATCTGAGCACCGGGAGAGCATGCAGGGCTGCTTCATGGAGCTGCTCGTGTTTAGAGCTTAGTGCCGACTTGGCTGCTTTTATCCCAGTAGATCTTCTCTTCCCTTGTGAAAATAACCCTTTTCCCACACCGATTGACTTAACAAAGACTAGTGAATAATACATCTCCATGTGCTTTGTTCTACATCCCCCTTGCACTTTGAGCAGCGTGGTGAGACTGTGCTGGAGCTGCTTTGGCACATCTTTCTATGACAGTATCAGGCTGTGCTACAAAGCACTGGATACAAAATTCAAAACCTTGGCTGAAATTAGCCAGTTTGCATTTGTTTTCCAAGCAAGCTTCAATGCAATAGCGTATCCCTTATGGACATGCAAGAGGCAGGAACTTCCCTGTGTCCACAGGAGGGCACACTTGGCATGCTTAATAAAAGTGGCAGTTTTTAATAGAGGTCCTCACTTAAAATGACAGCAGAATCTGCGTGAAAGTTGGATGTTTACTGATGAATAAGAAAGTTACATGGATTACCATACATTAAGTAGGACTGGAGCTGCAGGTCAGAGCCTCTCTGTATGCAACACGTGCAACAGATGAGGTTCCTGTTCAAAGTAATTCCCCAAACCCCACTAGGAGCCATAAATCATGCCAAGACTGTGTCAAGTTTTATTTGTAAGTCCCTGCAATGTTGGTGGAATATGTCGCATTGCTCCCCGCTCTGCGTTTGGAAGTTGAAGCCATGTAAAGCAGCCAGGCTCCTGCTGGAAATAAGAAATTCAGCAAAGGCAAGAAGCTCACAGCTGAGTTTTCCATGCCCACTGCTCCTCGTTGTCTTCCAAATACAAGCTGGATGCAGGACAAAGACTTGGATTCTTTTGGCAAGAGGCTGCACACGAGCTTCCCAAGAGGAATGGTGGCAGATTTGCTGCTTTAAAGATTTAGAAATCCTGAAATCAGCAGACAGAGATGGCAAGGGAGAGAAGGTGAGATAAATACAGGCCTACCTGTAAAATTCATGACTGCTGCAGGAGACGCTGCTGTTTGAGAGCTGCAGATGGGAAGAAGAGTAATTTGGGAGGGGAGAGGCACTGACACCAACGACAAAAGCTTCAGAACAGCCAGTTCAATCTTGCTGCATCTGTAGCCGAACCCTCTTCAAGGGACCCTCCACAGCAGAGCTCAGCCTGCAGGCACCAGCCTTGCTTCTCTTAGTTACTCTTCGCAGAGCTTTCAGAAGCTTCCTTTGGGATCCCAAAGCAGAGGGTTGCAGGCGCTGCTTCAGTAGCAGATCCAGCCAAGCTCCCTTGCTCCCATGCAGCTGGGAGGTGTCTGGCACGTTGCCTCGCTGCTCCATCTCTTCATCCCTTGGCTTCCTGTGAGCCAAGCAGCAGCATGGGCAGAGCCCCAAGCAGTACCTCCGAGTGGGTCAGTCTGTCTTGCCGTGGAACCTCAGGAGACCTACAAACTTTTTAAGTAGCTTCCTTTCACAATATAAAGGTTGCAGTCCAAAGGGAAATACTCCAGCGGGAGCACAAGGCTTGTAGCTGTTTTTTAAGTCTGATCCATTGGCTTCTTCTAGTCTCTCAGGAGGAGAAAAAGTCAAAGTCATATCCCCCTTTTTAACAGTCTGCCTTTCTCCTCAAGTGTGTTTTCTTTATCTCAGTCCACATTCCCTCTTCTTGGGCCCTCTCCACTTCCTCCTCCCCTGGGTTTTGGTTCCTCTGTATTATCTGTCTGAACCCCTGACATCTGGCATCTAGTACCAGGTTCCTTCACCTGCCTCCTCCTGGGCTGAGGGCATAGCGACCACAAGGGTGAAGGGATCTGGACACATAACATGTCCAGCCCTCCCAAGACCAAACGAAATTCCTAGGAACTGATCCGGGAGAACAGCTCTTTTCAGATAGACCAGCAACGTGACCTTGTTAAGGCTTCAACAGCCTCTCTCCTGTAGGTGACTGGCAGCGTTCATCCCTTTGCCTCTATCCGATCCCATTCCAGACTCTGGCCTATGTTTTTCTATTGCCATGGATTGACTCTCTTCTCTCTGTAATCCACTCTGAGCGTGAGTTGAACTCAGATTTCATGTTAGGTAACCAAAAACCTCTAGATAAGAAGTTTATACTAGATCACCTGCTGATGAAAGCAGGTATGAATGAGACGCAGCTTTGTTGTAAGGACAGTGGGAACCAAGAATAAGAACAGTTAGGATGTGAGGGAAGGCCTTAGATCAAGGACAAAGATAGTGTCACAGATTCTAGTCTAGTCTAGTCTAGATAGCGTCACAGTCTTTGGCAGAAAAAAGTCAAGTAGTAAGAAAAAAAGTAATTTTTCAACAAAAAGATAGAGTGATTTTTTTAATCAAGTGAATTGCACCACAAAGGGCTCTTCTCCTAGATTTCCTGATCTGTTTATTCAAGACCCAGTGACAACTGCCAGTGAACATATTTGGAGGTTAACTTGAAAACCAGAGAGTGGGGATGGAAGTCAGTGCCTGGACATCCCTGCAGGCAGGCGGCCCCTGCCAGATCACGGCTCGAGCCGCTCATTCCAGACATCTCGGCTTCTTGACTTCCTTCCTAACTGCTTTAGGATTAGAAGGACTCTCTGAATGCTGTGGGAATGGTATTGAATCTTGTCACATTTTCTACAGTTCTCTGATACTGGAGGTTGCAAATTTCGTATAAATTCTAAAATTAAATTATTAATCTTGAGTTTCAATGAGCACAGTAAGCACATGCAACTAATCATGGGTCTATACACCTGCCTTGATGTAACTTCTGGTATATTTTTCTCTCCTTGACATTTTCCAATGTCAAGGAGACAGGCCTTTATATAAGTTATAACAAAGAAATTCCTAATATTTTGGGAGTTGAAGCTGAAGAGCATTGCACCTGAGTAGAGAGCAGTTGGAGCGTGGATGGGATACACTGTCTTCAGGAATATATTTCCCCAACTCTTAGTGAAGCCCTTCTGCACTATCGTATGTCATTAAAGACCAATCATTCATTATAAGAAACTCTTAGTTAAACATTGAATGAGATGTTCATCCTACTGTTCTGTTCCCACCCCCTGAACACAGACTCTTGCTCCATTTTCCCATTTTGCTTGATCTTATTTTGTGTGAACCGAAGTCCTTGTGCAGTTGTATAGATGAAAGAAGAGTTCTGTGTTTTGAGCTGGATACCACTGAAATAATGTACTTTTCCTAAAAGTTCTCAAATTTATATTACATTACATTACGCTCTCAGGCAATTAAAGGTGCACACTCGTAGGCAGCCTTTATAACACTTCTGATGAACTGAAAGCCATTATAAAATAATCAGATTTTAGAAGTGTTAATCTGACTGGGCTCTTACACTGCACCAGCAGCTCATCCCTCTGATATTACTAAATTTAGGAGTGGGAGCTCAGAAGTATTCTGTTGTGGAGGCCGTGTAGGGTCCCAGACCAAATGGCCAAATCCTGCTTTTGAATAGCAGGAGTGCCAGGCCACTGCTTTCCCAAAGCCTCCTTCTCCCCTTTGCTTCCTGTCTAGTGCCACCTACTCATTGCCAAAGAAAAGCAAAACAAAAAGGAGCAATCCGAAACGACAAGCAATGCTAGCCAAGCAGGTTCCCAAGAATGAAGCATGGAGTGTCCCAATTGTTTTGACTTTCAGAGAGGACCGTGTTCCCAAGGCATGTTCAGCATCTGGTCTCATGGAGTTGTCCTGCGTTAGCTGGAGTCACAGCTTATTTCCCCAATGTCAAATCTTCACCAGTGAGGGTGGACTTGGGAAAAATTGGAACAGGGAAGGCCTCGCTATCATGTGACTTTGCCCTAGACTACGTATGGTATTGAGCTTTATTGTGTGGTTAATGGACAACATTTAATTATTTCAGGCTCGTCGTTCCCAATAAAGGCTATTCATCGTTAGACCAGAGTCCAGATGAGAAACCACTGGTAGCCCTGGATACGGACAGGTATGCCGAGTGTTAATAAGTTATATATGTTACAGGGACAGCAGGTTTTCACGCTAGAGTGTAACTTTGAGGCCAACTCCTCCTTGGACCTCTGCTGAACCCATTCTTACAGAGCACTCGCTGTGCCCTTGGGCATGTAACTAGGCTCTCATGTAGCAAGTAGGAAGAGACATGAGTCAAGAGCATTTTTATGAAAAGGCCTGAGGTTCACAGATGAAAGTTGATATTCAAACCACCTTGATATAACTTCTCTGTGCCTAAAGGACCTCGTGGTACAAGATAGGACTAGTGGAGGAATACAAATCTTTAATTGTTTCCTTCTTTGCTGTACGCTGTCCTTCCTGCAGTGATGATGACTTTGACATGTCCAGATATTCCTCTTCGGGATACTCATCAGCTGAGGTGAGTTATACTCTCTCTTGCCATGCTTGCCACAGGTGCTAATGTTAGAGCAGACTGTAGTGGCTTAGAGTAGCCTTCTCCAGCCAGAAATGCAGTTTGGCAATGGTATAAGCTTTGTGAATCTGGAAGGGGCTGTGGCAGAAACTGTGTCATGCTGCTTTCTTCCTGAGTGATCTAGCTGGCTCCCTTCCCTCACTGCTGTGGCACAGGCACAGATTTGCCTGCTGTTTTCACAGCTACCTCTGGCTTTCCCCTGTTCTGCTCAGCCTGCAGTGTTGGCCCATGATGGACAGAAGCATTAGCTTGCCTGTCGTGGCAGCTCAGCAACCATCTACGTGCCAGGAACACAAACAGGGGCTCCGTGGGCACGCTCTTGTTTCCAGTTCCTGTGGGCACAGGGTCACCCAATGTACGTTTACTTAGAGCAGATAAAAATCTCAGAGAGGCCTTGCAGTCATGAACTCTTGCCTATTCCAGGAAAAAAAGGCAGGAAGTTAAGGCTTGTCAGTCCCTCTCTGTAGTCCCTGAATATATTCCCAAGCCCTCTAGCAAGTCAGTTGCTCAACCTCTGGCTACTATTTCTGCAAGATCTGATTGTATCTCCAGGGTGCTGAGCACACCATCCCCTGGGAGCTCTTCCCCTCCCATCCCTTCTTTGGGCAAAATACCATTGAAACTTTGAGAAACAGCCAAGAGCAGGGAGCAGGTCAAATGATCTGGCCATCTCTGGGCCATCACGTAAAGCATTTTTTCATTCAGGTCTGGCTAAACAGCCCTTGAATCTGAATCTACAAAGAACCAAGTTCTATCAGCAGTGACTTTACCCCCTTTCAACTATTGCAGTGCCCTAGACTGGTGGGAAGGGTTGTCCTGCTGCGAGTTCATTTATTATCAGTGCTATTACATTAATCTAAATGAGAAATTGTCTTCATGGAAACCATATTCCAGAATAAAATAGCATATTAACAAATTGCAGCTGCTCTGGAATGTAGATATTTTTTATGTATGTAGATGAATGTAGATACGTTGTAGATATTCCTATTCTGGAAGAAACGAGATCATGAGAAGGAATCCTTAGCTGGGTTCAAAACTTGGGACTCTTTTGTTGGCAGGACAGTTCCTAATGATAAGTATTCCAGAATGAGTGACCTCCTTACACTTCTGACCTGTGAGAAGGAAGAAGTCTCAAGTATTTGACTGTTCGTCTCTTTGTCTGTAGCAGATCAACCAAGACTTGAACATCCAGCTGCTAAAGGATGGGTACCGGTTAGATGAGATCCCAGACGACGAGGACCTCGACCTAATCCCCCCTAAATCGGTCAACCCTACCTGCATGTGTTGCCAAGCCACCTCCTCCACCGCCTGTCACATCCAGTAGTGAGGCCGGCAGGCTGTGATCAGTGCTTTCCACTATAACTGTAAAACTTAACAGCCATTGCTTCCTCCTATGGTAGGACGTGCACCTCTTTGTGTTCATGGAGCCAGGAGAAACCAAAAAAATCCATTTTATGATTGGTTGATAAGTTATTTTAAGCTATGGTTAAACGAAGCAGTTGTTCAAAGTGCCAGGCAGTGCCTAGCAGAACTGACTGGTCTGGAGAATGAATGCAGAAGGGCCTAAAGATACCTCCTTGGTGGACACTGGAGATGGTTTGTAAGCTGTCGCTTCCGGACTGGGAAGGATCCGATGGGGCTCCGGGTAATCCTACCCCACAAAACCAATCTATTTGCAAGATCAGGACTGAGTCTGAGATGCCAGGTATTTTTAACCAAAGGAGGAGGTCAGTTCTTAATTCATTCACTAAACCTGATCAGTTTGTGTCAATCAGAATTATTCCATAATCAGGGCACAGGAAGGGGAATGCAGTAGGGCATCCAATATTATGGCAGGTCTAGCCAGGAGTAACATAACACAATTCTTTCACTTGTAAAGAGAACAAGTAGGTGGCATTTCACTCTGAGTCAGTACTAGCTAGAGCTGTCATGTCACATAGCAGTGCAATCTACCCTTAGTTCCACATTAAATTATCATCAATCAGATTAGATTCAATCTGTAATCCATCCATGCTCTTCTGGAATTCAGTCCTTGCCTAAGAGTACCATACTCATGAGTTCAACCCAGTCACGTTTACTGACTTCAGCCTGTACTTAATTCCCAGGAGACCCATATTCTTCCAAAAATGTTGAGCTTTGTTCAAATAAGAAAAAAAGGAAGCCTGCACCAAAACAGAGCTAGAGTTGTACAGCCTGAAGATCAGTACAGAAAGAGGTAGCTGAAGAAAGCACATTTTATGGGACTTAGCCATGGACACTCTCTTGTCTTTCCGTGCCTACAGAAGAGATTTGTTAACCCTGAAAGTGTCTGTGTGGTGGTGTCAGACATGAGCAGTTTTCCATGACAAGGGATTATCAACAGATTCAGCTCCAAAGAAAAAGCCATGGGAGGAGACTGCTGTTTATCCCATCTCTGCCCTCTTCTGGACCAAGTTGTGCTTGTGTGAGAACTCTCCTCCGTAAGGAACGATTGTGTTTGTTTGGTGCCAGGGTAATTAGAAAACCTCATGGTAAATTAGGTTGCTGGGCTGAATTGCTAGGTCACCAACCATTCGCTTTTAATGCAGATTAATTTCTGGAATTAGGAAATGTGTTCTCTCTCTGGTCAGTCTTTAACCTTTGGCTTCAGAATACCTAGGACTCAGGTTCTGGCTGAGCTGGCATTTTTCCCTGAGGTGAAATCCTTTGACACAGACACGAGGGTGTGTTTTTCCTGCTCTTTCAGGAAGGACTGCCCATCTTGCTTCTGTGCTTGCTTTAGATCCTGGCAAAGGCAAGAAGTGAGGGCAGTTCTAAGCTTCCCACGCAAATTTCCTCTCAAAATTCCTTTGCATCACAAGAAAGAGCCTGAACTGCAGATCATCTATTCAAAATGTATACAGAGTAAGTTGAGTCTTTAAGAAGTCCTCTTAGTGATTAAGCAAACACTTACTTTTAAATGTAAGCAAACACTTACTTTTAAAACACTTACTTTTTTTCATGGATTTTTAGCTGTGCAATGCAAGGCATGGTATTGTCCATGGCATGATTAAAAGATCAGGCATGTTCACTAGTTGGCTGTGGCCACCACGAAAGCAGTGATTGCTCCTCTCCGTACAACAGAGGCGTTGCTGCCTCCCAGGGAACAGAGGGGACTGGCCAGTGTTGGTTACTAAATGTTAACTGCCTCCTCCTCCAAAAGTGCTAGTTATCTTGCCAACCCCTCTGAGAATGCGCCTTAGCTGCATTTTTCCCCCTTCATAATCCCATGCTAGTGCTGAGAGGGAATATTTCCAAAATGTTTCTTAAGAAGCACAAACCACCAAGTCTCCAGTCTTGGCTTCTTCATTCATGTGTCTGCTTTTCTCCCCAGTGCTGGCTCAGGAGTGAGATTAGCAAGTTGACTGGAGGGAGAAGAGCTCTCACCTCAAAGGCTAGGGAGAAAAGATAAAAGGAGAAAAAAAAAAAAACCTTCCTTAAGGAGTCTTTTTCTTAAGTATAGAATCTGGTCAAAACTTAACAGAAATCCCATGGTCAAATCAAATCCTACAGGACACAGTGAAGTCTTTGTCAATGTTCCTCATGCTTAAGCAGGGTTGTGCAGTTCAGAGTGGGTACCACACAACCTCCTCGTATTTATCCTCTTGGGTCAGGGTCTGCCCCTTCCAGCCAGGCTGCACAAACTCAGCCCTCCATAGAGCCTTTGCACGAAGCTTCAAACATTTTGGGATACCTGCTAGAGCAGTGAGGTGTCCTGCTTACCTGGGTAAACCTTGGCAGATTGCAGGTCCCCCAGATCTCTCTGATATAATCTCTGTGTTAAGCAAAGATGGGGCAAGACATGCTGAGACTGAGTCTTCCAAGGCTCCAGGTCCCCTCTGAAGGACAGACCTCCCCTAATAACCTTTGCCCGGCGCAGCACGATGAAGTCCTTTTATTGCCCTTGTTGCTGGTTCTGCTTTGTGCCTGCCACGTGCCCTGAAGCAACCCCAGCACCCTGCAGTTGCCCCCAACCCTTTGCCCTGTGTGATGTGCACCTGCTTCCAGCGTAACCCTTTAGGGTCCCTGGGAGGAAACTACTCTTGTGTGTATAGGACAGAAAGAGGTGAGTTTAAATATTAGCTGCACTCAGTGCTTCCCCCAAGTACAGCAGAAGCCAAGTGGTTTTATCCTGCTCACAGAAGGAGCTGGTTGCACAAATCGCAGGTTTGGCATTATAGTACAGGACCATAAAATGGCAATTTTTTGGCTTCTCCGCTCTATGCTTTGTGTTCATATATTTTACTAGGGGAATGAAGTAGAAAGGGTGGGGAAAAGTAGTTACCTGTGTAGGGTTGTTATCAGGAAGGCTGAATGAGTTAAGGCAGTGCACATGTGGCCATCACAGAAAATTGACCACTGACCCTTCTGACCTGCAGCCCCTTAAGCAGGTTGTTAACATGGGATATGTTTGCTGGCTCGCTGTGGAAAACGATGGTCAACCCAGCAGGACATATTAACCACAGACTGGGTTGACTCTCCCCTTCTGGTCTCACACTCAGACTTTTGCTTCAGCAAAATTTTGCTTCAGCAAAATTTTGATAACCAAATGACCTGAGTATAAGCAAATCTTTTCTTTTTATTTTGCCCATGAACATGAGCTGACTTTGGACTGTGGGGTCTCAGCACACAACTCATCTCTCCTGTTGGTCTGTCAGTTCCCGATTTCCAGACACCTGTGCCTAAGGAGGCCTGAGGGGGAATATCTTGGTGCTGAGTGAGATCTCTTGGTGCCATGGTCTAGTCTGCTGTTCTGCTGGCTTTATTATAGGATTTGTGTGGGAAAAGGCTGATGAACAGACAGCTATCCTAAAGGCTCACCTCTTAAGATGCCTTATCACACATATCTTGATGCCAGCCTTTTGAAGAGCGCGGGATTATTTCTGACATTTCCGTGTGCCTGCACCCAATGTGTATGTTTGGCCGCTGGCTCAGCCACGCCTGTTTGGTTGTCTTGCCTGCAGATGCTTTTATTTGCCTGCAAAAGCAGGTGGCCCAGCCCATTGCTGGACTTCAGAAGGGCCTCCAGGAAGCCGTGCTCCCCACGGACAGGATGGACTGAGCTGCTTCTGCTTTGGCTCTCCAGCTCCTTCCCCAGAAGGAGGCACCTGCTCCGCTCAGCTGTGTGTTGACTGACATGTTTCTGTGAAATCCTGAGCAGAATCCTTTCCTCTCTGCACGGGATGTCCTCAGAGTGGCCTGCAGGCTGTACAGAGGAGTGCAGGAAGCTTGGAAAGCACCCTGCCTGAGCCTGAACAGAAAGATGCTTTTGAAGAAAGGAAGGCCCCAGCTGGGCACCAGATGGGATGACAGAAAGGGAAAAACAGGCACTAACTGGAAAGGTTGCCAAGTGCTGCCTTGGCCTAGGGCAGATCCCAGTTGTCCAAGTTAATCTATCTCAGTAGTGTGCTGATACCAGCAGAGAGCAAAGCTTGCTTTGGGATGCACACCCCAGAGCTGTCACCAAAGCCACTATATGCCAGCAGGGTCTGTTGGACTCTTAGAGCACAGAAACGTGATTGGGGTTCTTTTCTGCCCTTGGTACCTGGTCCATTTGCTGTAACCTCAGTCAAGTTACATCCCTGCTCCATCTCCAACCTGCTGTATCAGGAGGTCAGGCACCCTCCATGGATGTTGCCAAGTTTGTGGTGAGCACCAGTGGTGGGATAGCTCTGCAAGCAAGATGTAGGAAGGATCCTGTAAGAGTGTCACACACAAAGGAAGAGCAAAGAGGATCCTGTAAGAGTGCCGTACTACAAAGGAAGAGCAACATAGCTCGCTCTTCCCTGCGTTTCCTCACTTGTGACGATTCCTGCATGTGCCAGAAGGCTGCAGGGTGCAGGCTGATAGAGAGATTGGGCAGCTTTGGGGGCAGGTGTTTGGCAAGGATTTGTTTCCTTGTTATTTGGCAGCTGCCAGAAGGAACGATCTGCATGATCTGCACGCTGCCAGAAGGAACATGGAAAGAGGATTTGATGGCCCAATAGCACCATCCCCTGCTAGCAGAGTTAAGGAATTTAAGAGTGCAAGTCGTTTTACAACTGAGAGAGGCAGTGCTAATGAGAAGGAAGGGAGCATTAAAGGACTCATTTGTGATATTTCCAGGGCAGTTTCATGCTCTTATTTTTTAACATCCATGTAGTGAATTGACAATATACACAAGCAATTTTCTCCAGGCTCTTCTTTTACTTTCTGTTCTTCCTTCTAATGCACCTGGGGTATGGCCACTATTCCCTAGGAGATCAGCTTTGTCATCTAAACGCTGCTTGTGAGTTTGCCCTGGCTTTGACTTGATTGCCCCATAGAGCCGATGCTTCAGAGCACCCTCCTTTTCGGCTGCCCATTTCTCAACAGGAGCATCTGAATAGTTGGGAGAGCAGAAGTCCTTCCCATGGGAAGGCACGGGACGAGGATCTTTTTAAGGTGCTTTTCAGCTTCTAGGAGATTGTGGCATCCCTGCCACGGGAATTCAAGGCTTTCCTGTGCAAGGGTTTGCTCCCAACTTTGAACCGCACCTCACCAGAGAAACCTGCCTGTGTCACAGAGCCACATGCACACCCTGAAGCAGAAGGCCCCAGCAGCTCAGGATGAAGGAAAGGTTGTGACCTGGGATGAAGCTGTTGGAGATGAGTGCCAGGCTGGTAGCGTGCAGGGTTCTCACAGGAGCTGGCACCCTCATTTTGCAGAGCTTGCAGCTTTGCCCTGCAGCCACAGAGAGCAGCTCTTCCCACTGCTTCCCACCGCCAACTGCCAGCAGAAACTAGTGAGGGGTCTGAGCCCTTCTTTTCCTCAAAAATGAGCAGCTTCAGCAAAAGCTGCCTTTGCCATAGGTAGGAGCGTGTCTTGCTGACTGTGCCTGGTCCGGGCACAGGTTGTGATACAGGCAGAGGGAGGGAAGCTCCAGAGAAGGCCTCATTAAAATGTGACCGCTTCAAACACCTAACTGGATGCCAGCGCAGCAGGGACCAGGAAAAGAAAAGGCCACAAAATAAGTCATGCTGAGATAAGCCCCGATCCCTGCGGAGATGTTTGCGCCCTGGGGCAGCATTTCATCCCCGGTTGCCCATTGAGTTGTCATGAGTGAATTCACCCAGAAACCCGGCTCTCCCCACGTGCTGCCCTCTCATCCTGGTTGGGCGGCTTCCAAAGAAGCTGGGACTCCATTTGTTACCCATCCTCCTCAAACCCCCATGATTTGGGAGACGCAAAGTTTGTTGAGAGATGTAATACAGACCCACAGAGAAAGCTGGAAAAATTGGACAAACTCTTTTCCCAACAGCCCTTCTTGTTTCTATCACCGTGCTCTCCTTCCACAGCTCATAGATTTCTTGGCTCAGTTTCCCGCATGGAAGAGCTGCCAGGGATAGCAGGTATGTCCAGCGTGTAGCTCCCTCTGTCCAGAGACGACTCAAAGGCAAACGTGAGAGCAGTAAGAGCTCCAACAAGCAGGACGAAGCTGCAGAGCAGAGCTGCAGTCCTTCTCTTCAAACATCTCAGTAGCCCAAGGGTGCTGGGCAAGGCTGGGTGGTGAGAGGTTAGCCAGACTAGTATGAAACCTCTAGCTCTGGCCCAGCAAGGCAAGACCAGCTTCACCTTCCAGGGTCACCGCTGCAGGAGATGCAAGACCCGCCTCTCTGCTCCTGGCGCTGCCTTCATGACCTGTGGCAGAGGTGGGCTCGGAGGTCTGTCAGCCACCCCCTTGCTGAACAGGGCAGCACGCTGTAGAGCAAGCAGCAGCACTGGTAGGGCTGCAGTTCTGCAGAAAGACAGACACTCTGACCTGAGATAAAATCTTTGCAGGGGAGAAAATTAAGCAAGGCTTTTTATTCTCCCCTCTTTTTGCACATTTTTAGCTATTTTTACTCCTTCCACTGGTGTTACTGAACCTTCAACTTGATAAAGAAGGAAGGGAATCACCATTGAATAGCTTTCTAAAGGGTTCTGAAGGCAGGTGCCACTTGCATGCAGAGGTGTCTGTGTCTAACACGCTGCCTCCAGGCCTCACTTTGCATCCTGCAGATGAGTCACACCTTGTGTGCCATGGGGTGGGAGAATCAGCACTGGCCATCATGCCCAACAGCTACAGCTTCCAAGCAGAACCAGAAGAGGAGTCAGGCAAAGAACGGGGGGAAGCAGCAGCAGCAGCAGCAATCAAAGTATAACTAGTTGTCACAGGTAAACTTCAGTATCCGTGTCCAGTGGTTAGTTCTAGAATCGCAAGCCTTGTTATATTGCACACGTCCTCCTTTCACTCCTTTTTTTCCTCAAAGCAGTCATTGTCTTTCCTCCTTTCTTGCCCCGAGAACTGATGATGAGCAGCAGAGGCAGCTGTACCACAACGGCGCTCAGCCCAGTTCCACATCCCCCTCTCCCATCCCAACCCAAGCCAGTCTGGACAACTGTTGGCCATCGCACGTCATCATTGGCAGTAGCCTCCCTTGGTTTCTTTCCATAACCTCCTCCACTCCAGCAGGGCAGTACGGGAGGCTCGTGTCGTGTCCCAAGAAGCCTCTTTGCCCCCTGGCAGCACCTTGCAGGCAGGCACCTTGTTGGGAGAGCTGGCACTGCCCGTCCTGCCCACAGGGCAGCTGATGGGAGCCCACCAGGGAGACTGGCAGCCAGCGGCCACTGTGTGCAGGGAGAGGAGGGTTTTTAGCATTGCAGTTACTGTCCCCTTCCCAGTGGCCAAGTTCAGGGCTGCTCTAGTGTTTGGGGTTGACTTGCTGTCCGGGCAGGCGCGGAGCTTCACACCGAATTTCACAGCAAATGCTCCAGGCTCCGGATGCCCACTGGGTTTCTCCCTTTCTGCACAGAGCTGGCCTTGCTTTCCACTGGCAGCAGTTCACAAATACTGACACGTAGGTCCGGATCAAACTTGAACTTCCACTCTGGGTCCTCAGCTCGGCGAGAACAAAACCCAAGGAAATGTTTCCAAGGTCTCCTTTCACCATGTGGTGTGTGGTGCCCCACGGGAGGGGATGGCAGGAGGCATTTGTGGGTCGCTGGGAGCGAGATCCTTTTGGGATATATTTAATGAAAATGTCTTTCCGGCAGAGAGACCTCCCAACCTTCGCATATATCTCAGAGCTGGAGAAGCATTTTCAGCTGTCCTTGCATATAGTGAAACATAGCTGAAACAGCCAAACGCAAAGTAGAGTTTAAACATAGGATTTGACCTGAATAATCTTTTAATTAGGAAGATAAATTTGTTGTAGCTTGACCTTAGTCCATGTTAGGAACCTGCTAATCATTTGACATGCAGAGTGTATTAATGCCGCACTTAACTTGGCCATTGGTTTTATTATCTGGTTTTGGGGTGGGTTTTCTTTCACTCCTGAAGCATCAATTTGCATCTGGTAAAGGTTTTATTTTTCCTTTCCCATCCAGAACATGTAGCACACTGTTGTACTTCAGTTCCTGTCCGCGTAGAGTATTGCCTTAAACAGATCAGTTGTGTTGTGGTTTGTTTGGGGTTATTTGTTTTTTGATTTTTTTTTTCTTTTCTACCATCGGTTTTATGCATTAATTTATTTAAAAATGTGGGTTTTTGAAAAAAAAAAACATGAAACATGTATAATATTTTTTTTAACATTTCCATTGCAGTATTTATCATTGTTACTGGTTGTGTGTAGTGTAACAGAACTAATGATATTAAAAAGCATACATATGAAAGCCGGCGTGTGTCCCTGGAGCGGGCTGCAAGGAGGGGTGAGAGGGACAAACTGCAGCTCATCCCTGATGTGAGAGCAGGGGAGGGAGGAGAGCCGCGGATCCGGCGCTGCTTTGGCTCTTCCCACACCAGGGGACCCCGGCAGAGAAAGAGCTGGAGCAGAATCCAGGGGGACGCTTGAGCACCAGGTTTGGGCTTTGAAGTGGCAGGTTACACTCGCCAAAGGTGGGAGGAGGCTCTCGTGATGGAGACGCGGGGCTTGGACGGGCCGCTCTTTGTGCAAAGCTCAAAACCAGCCTATTGAGCCCAGCAAAAGCAGCTGGGGTTGGGAGCGGGCCCACGGGGCCCAGCTAAAGCTGCCGTGGCTGCCCCGGCACCTGGAACAGCTCCCCGAGGCAGCGGGAACGCGGCGCCGTTGGACTCGGCCCGGGCAGCATCTTTCCTCCAAAGGGTAACGAGGCAGCAAGAGGCTGCGTGATCTACGCGCTGCCAACAGGTAAAATAACCCGCTGTCCTGCTTTGAGCCCTTCCTCATCCTTACAGCCACTGGTACGAGAACTGAGCGCCGGTTCTGCCGTCCCGCGCCTCGCTGTTTACCTACCTGCACCGCATTAAGCCAATGCCCGCAGCAGAGGATGGATTTTAGCAAGGGAGCAGAGGCAGAAAGCCCCAGCTTGGGGCTCCGGCAGCCGCCCCAGTTTGGGGGCCCTCTGAGGAAACGCTGGGAGAGCAGAGGCCCCTCGGAGGGCAGGTGCTGCTGCGGGAGGGTGGAGGCACCGGACCCCCCTTTCCTGCACCGCGGAGCCGCCAGCGCAGCGAGGACACCGCGGCTGGGACGGGCTCCCGGGACGAGGTCGGGCTGACACTGAGCCCAGCTGGGGCTGCCAGAGGCCGCAGGGTGTGAAAATCAAAAGCAGTTCGTTCCCTTCGTTACTTCTTCAATGGAGCATGAGTCACATGTGGCTGCTCCGCGTGTCCCGGCTGCCCAGCCCGGCCCCGGGGAGCCCGGCCGCAGCTTCCTGGGGTCTCTGAGATAATGCAGCGTAAAGGGGACCCCATCAGGCACAAACCTGGGTGCAGCCAGACCTCGGCTGGGAGCCCTGCCCGCTGCTGGCCCCTGGCTCTTGCAAGCACAGCGCTGGGCACGGTGCAGCCCATGGAAAAGGGCTTTGCTCTGGGGCGCTCCCCAAGACTTAACCAACCCCCCAGTGCCGGCACACAGCGGCCCAGGGCCACACTCCCCACCAGCCCCACGATGGACAAGTCCTGCCCAAGCAGCTCCATCGCCCAGGACGTCCTCAGTTCTGCTATATTTCTAGCTGGTCTGTACTGCTAGCTTTGTTACCACCTCTTAGCTTTAATAAATTCCCACAACTGACAAGCGCTGGTGTCTCCAGTTGGGTGCAACTAACCTGGGAATCCCTAGGGCCTCGGATGCCCCTTTAGCAGCGCGGCACAGCTCTGGTTCCCAGCATGGCATGTGGGAGCGAGGCTGCTCCCACCGGCCCTCAGCCCGTGTGTGCCCCGAACACCACCACGGAGGCAGCCCCATGGAAGCAGCAGGACAAGAAGGCACCAAATCCCCCAGTTCCCCACACTGTGACGTCACCGGTGACGTCACCCCCTCCCCACGGTTCCCAGCCCCATGTAGCTCTCACAGAACCCGTGGCACCCGCGAGGACTCCCACCCTGCACCCACCCCGGCGGCCGCGGCACCATGTTCCTCTTTGCCCAAGAGACCAAGACCCCCGTGAGCACCTACACGGACTCCTACCGGCCGCCCAACTCCGTGAAGAAGACTTTCCAGGAGCCCCCGTCGCTGCTCTGGAAGGAGAACAAGTTTGTGACCAAGGTAGGTAGGTGCCTGCAAGGAGGCAGCACCTCAGCCCAAGGCCACAGCCCCAAGGGTTTCCACACGGTGCCATGTGATGCTGATGGCTCCTGCGGTCCCTCCTGGTCATGTCCGATTTCAGCTTTCACAGCACTTTGATGCTCCTGTATCTCTCTTCCCCCTTGGTTTGAGGTCTCCTCCGCCTGCACCTGCAGCAGCAGAGAGGTGTCGCTTGGGGCTCGTGGGGCAGGCAGTTGCCACCAGGAGCTCTTGTGTGTCGGCACTGTCCGTCAGTAGGTTTCAGAGTATGAGAGGGCACAGCCTCAAGGGGAGAGGAAATGGAGCATGAGAAATGGGCCTTTCCCAAATGCAACGTGGGACAAGGTGCTTAACGTCACCCCAACAAGTCCTACCGCAGCCCTGAGCCTGGTCACCCATTCCTGCGCCCGGGATGTGTCCCCTCCATCCAACCCGCCCTGGGGGCAGCCCCACTGTGCAGGGCCCGCAGGCCCGGCAGCCGCTGCGGGAGAGCGGCTGGTGATGCCCTGCCGCACTCTGGGGCGAACGAGAAGCTTTGGGGTGTAGATGGTGCCGCTGCAGCGACCCGGGCGCAGAGAAGGGCAGCCCTGGGTCAGAGCCCGGCCCTAATCGGCTTGGCTGGGAAGGCAGCAAGGGCGGGCGCTGCCGTGCGCCCGGCTCCCTCCCGCTCTGCGCTGCCTGCAGGGATTAGCGATGCCGCCGGTGCCGAGTGCCGGGAGCCCCGGGCAGCAGGAGAGGCTGCTGACGGCCGCGGCGCAGGAGCTGGCCTACAGGAACGCCGTGGAGCCCAGCGCCTACCAGCCCGAGAAGTACTGGGTGACCCGGCAGGAAGGTCGGGCTGAGGGGCCCCGCGCGCATCCCCATCCCCACGCCAGGTCATCCCCATCCCCTTCCCCACGACCAGGGCACAACGGGTCCCGTGGGCTCCCTCTGCACTGGTGGCCCCTAGAGAACATCATGCAGAGCCCGGGTGGTGGATGGTGCTGGCGAAGACCTTCCTTGCAGCCCCTGGGACAGCAATGAGGGGAAGGTGGTGGCATCACCTCTACTGTGGCTTGGAGACCCTTAGGAGAGTCCCCCAATGCAGGCACTGGGGAATCGGATGCTGTAGCGAGGCAGTTGCGCCCGCGGCCCCGCAGCGCGTCCTGCCCGTGCCGTTTGCCTTGCAGAGAGGTACAACCCGGTCTTTGTCAACGAGGACAGGTACGTGACGTGGCGAACGTCCCCTTACAACAGCGCGGCCTGGAATAAATACACCACCTACCTCCCGCGGCTGCCCAAGGTAGGAGCCCGCGGCGCGGGGCCGCCCGTGGGGCAGCGCCGTGGGGCAGAGCGGCTGCCACCTGCGCCCTTGCAGGAGGCGAAGATGGAGGCGCTGCTGGAGAGCGCGGCCCGGCCCGAGCACCTCCACCGCTGCGGTAAGGGCCGCCCGCGCCGCTGCCCGCGGCCGCCCGGGCGCCGCCGCTCACCCGCCGCCCTCCGCTTGCAGAGAGGGAGGTGGCCGACATGCTGGGCAGCCTCCGGCGGGCCCCGCCGCCCGCCGCGCCGCACGTGTACGCGGCGGCCGCGCGCAGGCCCTACCAGGGCTACTTCAGCCCCTGCTCCGGGCGCCACTACTGCCTGCGCGGCATGGACTACTACGGCGACGTGGGGCGCCCCGACACCGGCCGGCACCTGCACCCGCTGGCCGAGAGGGCTGTAAGGTTGGGAGGGGGGTGGGACAGGCGCCACCCTCCTCTTCCTCGCGGCGGGCCATGAGTGCGGCCGGGCTCTGGCCGGGCGCACGGGAGCTGCGCTGACGCCCGTGTCTCTCGCAGGAATATCCCGTACTGCAAGTCCAGCCCCGGAGTAACGTGCTGTGCACTTTCATGCAGCCCGCAGCCATCCTGCCTGTATACGAGCCCTAAGTACGCGGAGCGGGGAGCCGGGATGGGCAAGAGCAGCTCATTTCGGGGGAAAAAAGCCACTAAATTCCTGTTCCAGCCAGCAGCTCCCTGCTTTGGGGGCCAGTCCCCGGGCTGCTCACACAGCAGCCTGTCCTTCACCCCGTGCCTGTTGATCCCGGAGTGTTTACACCGGGGATGCAGGTGCTGCGGAGGCAGCTCCTCCCTGGCCTGGGGCAGTGCGGGCAGGGGGAGGCTCCCAGCTCCATCACCCCCACAGCTCTGCTGCAGCACCAGCCCCTGTGGACCTGCGTCAGGAGCTTGCAGAAAACACACAATTGGCTTTAAATGCACATTAGGAGCTTGCAGAAATTACGCAATTGACTTTAAATTCACGTTACAAGCTTGCAGAAATCACGCAATTGGCTTTAAATTCGTGAGAGCGGGCGTTAATCCCAAATGACAACAATGACAGACAGGAAATGCGGCGGTTGCCCACCCCACTGGCAAGCTGTGGTGAGGTGTTTCCCACCATCTTCTCCAATCCAAGAAAGGCAGATCCCCAGCTCCAAGAACCACGTTTTTAGGAAAACAGAGGGGTAGGGAAGGGTGGCCGTTCACAGGTGAACTGAGCGGGGCTGCGGTGCTGAGTAGATCAAGCCCAAGATCATCTGTACGGGCTTCGCTGTGGCCTCTGCTCCCGTAAAAGGCACATGCCAAAGCAACATGCCCCTGGACGCCCACGAATGCCCTGGAACAGATTTCCTGCTCTTCTTCCTCACTTCTTCCTCTGCGCGGCTCAGATCCCCATGTTTATCTCCTGTGTTTATCTCCTCTCCTAGGTGGGACTCGAGTCACTTCAAGAAGGCCGGAGGAGTCCAGAGAGGCACCTTCACCATCCACCCTGAATTTGTGTCCGAGTCCTGCTCTGCTCCCTGGGGCTACTGAGGAGCACGGACCGGCTGTCATTAAATCTGCTTAGGGCAACTCTCCCCGGGCCCCTCTCCCAGAGCCCCTCCACGGCCACGAAGCCCCCCTCCTCCCCAGCCTGGCGTGAGTAGGGAGGGATCGGGAGCCACCAGCCATCCCGGCACCCACCACAGCACCTTCCCGATGCTCCCAGCACCCTCCTGGTGCTCCTGGCCAGCTGGAGACCCCCAGCTGCAGCACCCCCAAGCCAGACACGCGCTCGGCGCGACGCTTCCCGGGCTGGGGGGACGCAGGGGCTGCCTTTCCGAGCAAACCCCACGGCAAGGAAACCCCAAACGTGCCTTCCCCTCGGCCCGCCAAGGCCCTGGGGGGGCAAATGCAGCCACCGCTGCCCTGCTCGGCGCCAAGAGCCCTCGGTGCCCTGCCAGCCTCTCCGCGAAGGGCACGGAGGGCCCTTAGGAAGGGAGACGGGGAATCCGGCCCGGCCGGACCCGGGGAGATCTCGGACTACATCTCCCGGCGGGGAGCGGCGCGACGGGGCGGGCCGGGGCCAGGGGGGCCGGGCCGGGGCGGGCCGAGCCCTTGGCGCAGCCCCGGGGCCGCTGCGGGCAGCGCGGGAGCGGAGCCGCCAGCCCGGGGGAGCCCAGCCCGGTACCGGTGCCGCGACCCAGAGGAGCCCAGCCCGGTGCCGGTGCCGCGGTCCGGCCCGGGGGAGCCCAGCCCGGTACCGGTGCCGCGGTCCGGCCCGGGGGAGCCCAGCCCGGTACCGGTGCCGCGGTCCGGAGGAGCCCAGCCCGGTGCCGGTGCCGCGGCCCGGGGAAGCCCAGCCCGGTACCGGTGCCCCGACCCAGAGGAGCCCAGCCCGGTACCGGTGCCGCGGCGCGGGGGAGCCCAGCCCGGTACTGGTGCCGCGGCCCGGGGAAGCCCAGCCCGGTACTGGTGCCGCGGCGCGGGGAAGCCCAGCCCGGTACTGGTGCCGCGGGGGAGCCCAGCCCGGTGCCGCAGCCCGGAGCGCCCCGCCCGGTGGCGGTACCGGTGCCGCCCATGCCCGCGCCCCGCCGCCCGGTGCCGCCGGTAAGTGGCCGTTTCCCCCGCTCGGGATGGGGTCCCCCTTGTCCGGGGGCTGTGCCGGTCCCCGCTGCGCTCCCTGCAGCCGCTTTCGGGGGACGCCGGCGGCCCGGCTGGTTCCCAGCGAGGCAGAGCCCAGGGGATGCCAAGGGGATGGTGCTCAGCGCCGAGAGCTCAAGCCCCTGTGTCCGCAGAGCCTTGGGTGTCTGAGGGACCAGGGTGCTGTGGCCAGGGTGCCGCAGGGTCCCAGCAGCCTGTGGCGAGCGGGCTGTATCCACGAAGCTGTGACCTTGGGGTGTAGTCCCTGCTTGCCAGGGAGGTGGGCGCCCTCCGGGTGGTCCCCTGCAGGGATTTAGTGCCCGAGGGGAATGACTGCGCCCAGCCTGTAGTCCTGGCCTTGCTAGAGCCGCCAGCAGATGTTTGGCGGGGAAAACTTCATGGAGAGACGGGGCTGCGCAGCAGGTTGTGCAATGAGCTGCTCTGCACTGGCCGGGTTTCCAGAACAGCCCCTTTCCTAGCAAGTGTTCCCAGCAGTGGAGAGCGGCAAGAGAGGAGCCCTCGGCCCGCTGCACTGCTCAGAGGGGGCTTGAGATGCCCGTGGTTGGCAGGGTGAGCGCCTGGCGCCGCGGGCACCGCGGTCCCACAGCGGGAGGGAGTCGGGGTGCGGGTCCCCATCGCTGGGGCTGCGCGAGGAAGTGCTGCTGGTGGGGGTTAACGGGCTGGAGGTTGTAGTGAGCCCAAAGGTGTCCCAGGGTACAGGTGGAAACACGGGATAGCAGCCGCCAGCCTCGCTCCTGGGGCCCTCAGCCGTTCTCTGGAGCTAAAAGAAGGACCTGGAAATTTGGGGCGACTTAATGGCTGGAAAATTGCAAACTGCAGCACCGAAGGGCTGTGCTTAGGTTTCTTTCTCTTGCCGGTATCACGTTCTCATGCTCTGGTGTCCGGATGGGCTCAGGTTTCTGAAATCCTCAGTACCCACAGTGCTGAGCTCTCTGAAAACCTGAATCAGGGCTTTTTACTTACACACTGGGATGGGGACTTGTTGGTGCTGGTGAGCTGAGCTCTGCTGGGTGGCCTGAGCCCTTTGGACACTGCGGAGATGCAGGAGGGTGGCAGGAACAAACGCCTCCCAGTAAGTGAAACGATGGAGGCTGGGCTGGGAATTTGGGCTGGGAATTTGGGCTGGGAGCCCCATGGTCAAGACTGTGGGATATGGGTTGGACCAGGCGTCCTGCCGGCCCCGGCCATGGTGCAGTTTGTCTTGGAAGAGGACAAGAGGAGGAAGAAGATGAGGAGCAGGAGAAAGGGTAAAAGCCCGGCGGGAGGTGGTGGGGACGGGTTTTTGTCCTTGTTCTCCTATAGGGAAGAGTCCGGAGGGCAAGGTCTGCTCGCCAAGGCTGCTCTTCTCAGCTTGTTTGTAGAGCAGCGCAGTTAGCAGGTAAAAAAATAAAAAGAAGGGAAAGCGAAGACAAGAAACAAACCTTGTGACAGCAGGAGTTGGGCCCTGGGACCAAAGGACAGCACCACACGACACCATAATCTTTACTGTCCAACTGTATACATTATACTGCACAGGCACAGCAGACACAATAAGTTTTGAGTGGTGTTTAATGCAGATCCATGTGATACCAACTGAGTGAGGACAAGGCCCTGGCCGGGTCCTGGGTTCATGGGTGGGAGAGATGAGCGAGGCGCTGAGCAACGCTCACTGATGCCTGTTTGCTCGGCCTTTTGCTTCCCCTCATCGGACACAAGATGAGTGTTTTTTGGGCAGGGCTCTACAGGATTCTCCGCCCTGGCAGTATCTGAGGTCCAGGTGACCCATTGGCAAAGGCCGCGCGGCTTCGTTAGCTCAACTCCTGACCACACTTTGAGGGGGGGCGACTGCCCCCGGCACCGCATCATTCCCACATGGAAGCTCATGGGCTTCCCCAAGGGCCGGGCGAGGGCTCGGAACCGGAGCCGACCCGCACACGTGACCCTCTTCAGATGATGCCCTAGTTGTGAAGGTGCCGGCGGTGGTGGTGCTGTGGGGCACGCAGCAGCACTGACAAAAATAGAGCGGGCTCCAGAACGGTGTTTTATTTTTACTCCGTAAACTGTGTCCCGCTCTGAGGTTTTGCCTTAAGATGAAAAAAAGGATAAGAAAAAGAAAAACCCAAGGTGGGGGGGAAGCTTTGCTTTGGGGCAGCGGGAGTGGCACCGCAGCGGGTCGCAGCGCACAGTGACCCCCACTGCTTCCCATCTGCTTTGAGCGGAGCTGCAGGTCACGGCAAAGTCATCCCGGGGCAAAATAACAGGCTTTTGTGCCAAAAAATCAGTGTCAGAAGAGGCCGCGCTCCCCGCGCGCGGCTGGAGCTCCTCGCCGCTGTGCCAAGGGGCCCCACGAGGGCGAAGGATGCGATGGGCGCCTGCCACCTGCCTCCTGCTCGGTGCCCGGGGCGAAGGACGCTGCCTCCGGAGCCGCCTCCCAGCTCCCTCCGCTCTCTCTCCCGAAACCCTTTATTTCCATGCCCAACGGCAGCTCCGGCAGCAGCGCTTTCTTGCACGTCACCGGTGCCGGCCCGCGCTGGAGGGGAGAGAAGGAGCCGCCTAAAAATAGAGCAGCCTCAGCGTTGCTCATAAATAATAAACCGGCCTCCTGGAAGGGAGCGTCGGGCCCAGAATGTCCCCGGCGCCCCGGGGAGCAGCGTTGCTGCAGGATCGGCCCTTCCCGGGGCTTAAAACCCAATGGGGAGCTAGGGGAGAACCCCCCATTTATTTCCTGTTCTTGGGAAGATGCAGGATCTGGTAAAACATCTTCTCCTGGGCTAGTCGGCAGGCCTGGCAGGAGGGACACGTTGCAGGTTATTCTCCTCCAGTGACAGCTTCACCCCTCCCCAAGCTCCCCGGGACCGAGAGAGCTGGCGCTGATGCCCATCCCCACTAGCAGACGCTTCGGCCTCCCATTCCCACTGGCATCCCAGGAATTCCCAGCACGGCAAGGGAGGGACTGCGTTTAGGTTAAAGGGATGTGTGGGTATTCCCAGAAGCAGGTGCCAGACCCCCAGGAGGGCAGCGTGGTGGGGATGGAGGGATGCGCCAACCAAAGCCGCATCTCCCACCATCTCCTGTGTGCAGCCCGGAGCAGCGTAGGCACAGGGATCTCGGACAGGCGCGGGATGCACCCGCGGGATGCTCCAGGCTCCGTGTCCTCCCTCCAGGCTCTCCAAGCTGGCAAGCGAAGGCTCCCAGAGCTCTGCAGCACTTGGCGGCGGTGCAGGTCATTTTGCTAAAGCTATCGCTTGTTCAGGCTAATCACAGCCTAATTCCACCCTAATCCCATTTAAAGCAACTGGCAACCCTGGAGGTTACAGGCTACCCCAGCAGACGGTTAAAACCACCAGCCCCAGCTGAGCTGCTGTGATCGTCTTGGCTGCATCCCTGTCCCTCCTCCAGTGGCCGCATCGGGCCCCAAATCTGCTTCAGGACACCTGCAAAATAGGATGTTATTTTCCTGCCCCATGCCCATCATTTTCCTTATCCCCAGTGCATTGTATTTGCCACTTATTGTGTTCCCAAACATGCTCTGCTGAGCCAATGGAGGAAATAAATAGATTTCACAGAAATTGGTGGGGGGAAAAAAAAAAGATTTCTGCTTTTTTTTTTTCTCTCCTGGGAGAAAGGTCTGTTCAAGGTGCCGAGGGAAATGTGCTCCCATAATGAATGCAGCAGGGATGAGACACAGGGAGAAATTGTATTTTCAGTCCGGAGCGCTTTTCTCTTCTTTCGGAAACAAGCTGACCCCGTAGAGGAAATCGCTGCATCCAGCTTTGCTCTTGCCTGAAAAGGCGGCTTTATTCCTCCCTGGTTTGCATGCCAGGACACAGAACAGGGTACGGGGACCAGGCTCCTCCCGTGACCCCGGGCTGGGTCTCCTGCCCCTCTGCAGCTTCCTGGCTCCCCTGGGG